GTATTTAAAATAATACTAAAATATTAGGATTTTGAGAGGTAGTTATAAAGATGTGTACAATAATTAATAGTATTTTTACAGAACAAAAGCGAGAAATTATTGTATCAAGCGGTTTCAATCAATTTCCAAATCAAAATGGTTTAAAATATAATGATATTTGCAAATTCAAAACCAAAAGCATACCTATATTTTTTGTTAAACATACTATTATTGGGACTAAAACATGTTGGAAATCAAGTTATAATGGGATACATAAATATTGGTAAATATATATTTATCGCGATTAAAAGTGAATAAATAAAGAGAAATTTTAAAAAATGCCACTTTTCAAGTGCCACTTTCAAAAATACCACATTTTCAAAATCTTTACAAATGTCATTTTTTCAAAATTATTTTTTCATTATATCATTTATGTTTGGCTTACCTATGTTGTATTAGGTTTAGTTTTGAAGGTTTTAGGGTTTTAGGGGTCAAAACATTTTTAAGGTTTATAATTTTAGATTTCAGTTTTTAAATTTTATAATTAGTAGTATTTTTGCAAATTGACACCCCTAAGTGACATTTTTGCAAATGTACACACCAAAAGTAGTATTTTTGCAAATAAAAGTATTCCCTACAAATATTTTATGTAAAAAGTCAAAATAGAAAGCAAAATGCATTTTATCCGGGCATCTTCTTATAAATATTTTAGGTAAAAAATCAAAACTACAAAGAAAAATACATTTACGATAAAACCCGCGCGTATGCCGGGATCTCACCAAGTTAAATTATAAATAAATCAAAATAAATTGGATATACAAAAAATTGGCTCAGTATATGTATATTCAAAAATAACTCAATATCTATGCTATAGATTTCACTAACTCGTATTCCCACTTTTTTCACCAACAGATTATGTTACCTCTTCATTAATTTCACCAGCAAATTCCATTTCTTCTTCTTGAACCACATTAGAATGAATATTGATCCATTACCCTACAAAAAGCAAATCAAAAAAAATTCATAACTTGAACTATGTAAATGCTAGAATCATATTGTAAATTTGGACAATGATCAACATAGCACAAGAACAAATAGTGACTATTAAATCCACAAGGACCAAAGCAACCTCGGTTTTACCTTACTTCTTCTAGTCATCGTTCTGACTTTACTTTTACGAAGAAGCTTCGAATTCGAATTAGGTAAATCGATTTTGGAGCATCGATTTCATCTTGTTTAGATTTGTGGTTCTTCTTTTTTTTAATTAAAAAAAAAATTTGAGGATGAAATTTTGAATCAAGCAACCTAATTACACTTAACGACAAACGTTTACTATTAGTTATCTAATTTTTTTGTTTACAACGCCAACTTCGGAATTAAATATGCAATCACGATAGTTGAGGAATAACTTAGTGCAAATGGAAAATTTGGGGAATAGCCATAATAATGGTTTTAGATTTTTCCGAAATTTTTTTATTTAATTAATTTATGAGAACTATATATTATTTGTTTTCCTTGTGTGAGAAAAAGGCCTTTATGATTAGTTAACTTTTTTTTAATGAAATATCAAATTTATTGATCAATCGTAAAAAATGGATATTTACAAAATAATAAAATGATAAAGAATGACAAATGTCCCATGGCTCAATACACAAATCAAAGAATGGAAACCTCAAACCACCGTCTTAATATTCCTTCAAACTTATGAGGGACTCTATACTTGAGTGAGAGAATTCGATTATGCAATGCCCTGTCAATGAGATGGACGAGTTGCTCAACTGTAACCCAACTCCGATGATTAATTAAGTTTACCATTAATTAATTGTTGAAGGTTTTCTTATTTCTAGTAGCATTATTTGTAATATCTTACCATTTTAAAGTTAGTTTCTAAAATATACTTCTCAAATAATGTAATAGAGAGATTGTGTGGATTGGACCAAGTTAAAAAATCTGAATATTAAGCTTAACACTTTTAAAATGTCAAGGTTTTTTCACTCATTTTTTCCAGAAAAACCACAACAACTTTAACGCTTTAAACTTGCTATGAAATATCGTGCTTAATATTTTTGAGATCCCTTTGGAAAAACTATTTGAGATTTATTCTTTTTGACCGCTAATATTGGAGATATGTGATTAGTAATTACTTTAACAAAATTAATTATGTAGAAAGTGAAACATCCCGCGCACGATAGGCGTGGAGTTGACCATGAAATGCATCGTGACAGTATTATATACAAAAGTAAAAAACTAGCTCTATTTTATGTTCTGTGTTATTTGATTAAAAACACATGCCTCGTGAAATGCATCGTATTATTTTTATAACTTAAATAACTAAAAAAATGATTTCTTATGTAAGAACATTTCTTAAATGTATTGTTTAGGTCCTGGTCTTGTTTTTCATCAATGGAATCAGATGTACCCCCTTCCATGAAATCACTAAATCTTTGGCACTTTCTCTCGACCAAATCTGTTTTTCTTCGGTTTTTGAATGCTGTTTGATTCGTTCGTTCTAAGCTTTTCGATTCAGTTATGAGTCGTAGTTGGATTACAATCCTGTCTCTGTTGCTAATTTCTCAGCTTGCTTCGGCTAAAATTTTGTTGATCGGGAACAATACATTTCTCTCCTTCGATTATGTCCAAGCAACTTTCAGTAACTCGTTTTTGTTTTTCTCCATATATATACTTATTGTTTCATGGACTCGATTTGACTCTTAGTTTTGTTGTTGTTTGGATCACTAGAAGATTACTAGTCTTGGATTAGTTTACAAGGTTACTATTGACACGGCTTATTATAGCTAAATTTGGGTTTTTATGACTAGACCATTCTATATTTGGTGCGAATAAAACGAACATAGACAAAATAGTATTTGTTCTTCATACAATCTCTCCTGTCTACTAAAATCTTTGTTTCGGATGATACAAAGAGTAATTATATTACCGTCTTGAGCTGATTTCAGCTCGGATTGTTGAAAGTTCGGGGGAATGTGGATCGTTGTACGCTGCAGAGCCACTTGATGCGTGCTCGGATTTAACCAACACCGCGGAAAAAGGATCAAAGCATAGGTTCGCTTATGTATTGATAATCCGTGGTGGCTGTAGTTTCGAGGAAAAAGTTAGGAATGCGCAGAAAGCTGGATTCAAAGCTGCTATTGTCTATACCGATGGATACGATGAGCTCTTAGTACCTAGTAAGTCCATATCTTCTCTATGTTCATGTCAGTTTTAACATCTTTAACTTGCGAAAAAAATCGATAGTTTTGTAATCTTGGAAATACCAAAATTTAGTGGCAGGAAACTCATCTGGAGTGTATATACATGGCTTGCTTGTTACAAGAGCATCTGGAGAAGTACTTAAAGGGTATGCAGGTCAAACCGGGATGGGGGTTTGGCTCATCCCCGGATTGGGGACTTCATCGTGGTCAATCATGGCTATCACTTTCATATCTTTATTCGGCATATCTACTCTTCTTGCCACTTATTTCTTTGTCCGTAGGCATCGAATTAGACGTGGACATGTGCGGTCTTTACCTCAGTGGCGGCAGAGGAACTTCTGGTATGCCTAGAAATTTGATACAACGGATTCCGACTGAAGTATTTTCAGGTCTTCTCAAAGTTGGTTCGACTTCTATTACTTGTACTATATGCATTGACGATTATTGCATTGGTGACAAACTCAGGATCCTACCTTGCCAACACAGTAAGTCCATTCGTTCTCTTCAAAAGAAGATTGATTGATTCTGCATAAGCTTCTTTAAGTAGTTTTGTTGCCTTTTTTTTTTACTTTGGGCAGAATTTCATGCTGCGTGTATCGATTCTTGGCTCCGTCTTTGGAGATCCTTTTGTCCCGTTTGTAAACGCGATGCAAAAGCAGGGAACAGCGATCCACCGACATCAGAAAGGACATCTCTGCTTTCTCCTAGCCTGAGCTCTTCTACTTCAGTGCAATCATTAGCAATAGCTATCAGACAAGAGCCTCTCTTACGTTCCACTGTACTGCAGCCATACACAGTTCCTACGTGCCACACCCAAGATCTCAGGAACGTCTTCCCAAAGATTAACATACAGAACAAGCCTGGTCCGTGCATCACCATGCTGGATTAGGTCTTCAAGTATGCGTGAGGATTTGCTTCACCAGTGACCCGGACGGGTCTTTCTCTCTTTTTGCCTCTAGTAACTCTCTTCCATGCTGATAAACCAAACCATATGTCACTCCCACCAGCTGCTACTTGACACCGCATTACAACCGGGTTGTAAATACACAGGTGAAAAAGAGTGTTTCAGTTTGAGTCTTATTTCTTTAGCCGCATTGTTCCGGCGGATATGCAACTTGTGATGATTGAACTTGAAAAGTGAGCATTTTTGGTGCGTTTGTAAATCAGCTAACCATTGAGTTAACTTTGTTACTTGTGCATATACTGCTTGATTCTTATACGCAATCAGTATCTGTCACCAAGAACTAATGCATGACACTAGAGAGCTAAAAGGATTCATAATTCAAATGGAATAATTATCGTTTTAGAACTTTAGATAGGGTGAAACAACACAATGCCCCAAAAACGACTAACAATAATAACGAAGATGGATAACCGTAAACTATTGATCGAAGTTAGCTTGCCAAAATAAAAGAAAAAACATACCACAGTCTAGGTGTAGCAAAACTAATCCTCTTTGTCTCTGGGCTTATGCTCACTTGTTTCACCTTCAGCGACACTAGTGGTCTGATCAGCCCTATCCCGGGATGCTGCAGTGGTCCTGACCCGAGCAGGCTCTTCCACTTGACCAAGGCTTCGTAGCATCATAATGACAGCAACCAAGAACACAATGATGTACACTGACCTAATCCCGATCATTGAATTGATAAATCCCATGAAAGATGGTCCTTTGATTCTCTTCCTCTCCGTGTTTCCTTCTCTATATCCCTCAAGAAACCGGGAGACTTGAGTCAGATGATCTTCCTCTAGGCTGATGACCTCTATGCCGTTCACCTGCATATTGTATATCAGAACAGATATTTTGATTTCATTTTTGGATACTTTTCTGCTCTCGGCTTTAGGAACAATTTGAAAGTCTGATCTACTTATCATTCTACCGATAAAACCAGCCTTTTACCTGATCATACTCCTCATCTCCGTCCCACACAACAATCTTAGGCAGCTTTGTCTTCTTGTCTGCATGAAACGAGTCTGCAAACTCTTCAAATTGCTCCACACCGACATAGCCAAACACAAGGTCGCGGTTCGCATGAGCAGCTGCTCTCAGTGCTTTGGTCAATTTCGCCAAGCTTTCGTGAGTTTCATCTTCCACGATTGTCAAGACCATCTTTCTCTCATCCTCTTTCAGCAACTTCAGCGTGTCCTGGTTAATTGGGAGAACCAGAGGAAGGAAATTTTGTTTCACGAATTCCTCCAAAAACCCATCTGCAAATGGAATTATACAGTGAAGCATGTCAATATTCACATTAGAAATTTCTCAGCACTTATTAACAAAGAAAAACGAGGTCATTGAACACATATGATATCATAGATCGGGAAGCAATCGTAGAAACAATCGATCTAATTATCAAATATTAAACCAGTTAAAATCTCTGTATATAGCCTCTGCTTAGAGGTAGTGTTTCTAAACTATATGACAAACCAGAATGGTAAATCCCTTCAACCCTGGGGTCTTAATTGGTGATTCAATTTGATTATAAAACTTACTTCAAAAAACTGTTTGACCTAAGTTGCACAGCTCCATTGGTATCACAACAAGAAAAGAAAAAAGTTACTGACCTTCAAATGGACCATAGAAGACACTACGCTCATTGTACGTTGGATGTTTGGCCACTAATGCAGGAGCCTTATCGAAATCATAAGAAACCATTAAATCCTCTGAGACATCCTTTGCGACAGCAAACCATGCCTTTTTCTTAAACTTTCCACCTAATGCTGATATCAACGATTCATTCAAGCCAAACCCGATAAACACAGGGAAGAAAGTCCCAGCATCTTCAACAAAATCCTTGACGGCTGAGTCTGACTCAAGAACCGCAACATCTGGAGCAACAAACTTCCTCAAGTAACGGACGAGCAAATCTGCTTTCCTTGGTCCATAGTACTCCATTGGAACTCCATGGTTATAGAGCATGAGGGTCGGAAATGCACTGCAGTAAAGAAAGCCAGATCAGCCGAATAAAACTAAAACATGAAAAATCAATAGGGTTGTGATTCAGAGCAATATACGGCCAAAGCTGCAAAAGAAACGCTTAGCCAAGCTTAAGGTAAAACATAGATAAAAGCAGTTCGTATATCCAATAGAGAACCTAAAACAATAAAGAAACTTTGATCCGAGCAATCTGCTAAGCTGATTGCAGCGCTAGAGAATAGACATAAATAGATACATACTCGATCTCAAGCTTTCGTGCGAGACGGGAATATTTGTCAGCATTGAGCTTCGCAATGATGATAGGCTGCTTCAGCTTAGCAAGAATGGGAGCAGCTGCATCTAACTGCAGCAGATCAACAAACAAAATTCGGAACATCAATAACAGATTAAGTGTACAAGACATTAAACCAATACTCAAAGAAAGTTACAAAAACATAGTAAACACAGAACCATGATCTTGAGCTACACAGCTACTCGATCCATAAAATCTGAAATCGGATAGATCAAAAATTAAAAGTATCGATCTTTATATCTAAATTCGACTAAACGATAGCAAACAAAACAAACCCAGATCGTACAATCGAACAAAAATAAGTTTTTTTTTTAAGAGAAGATGAGGGAGATTACAAGACCTCGGGGTTGAGACGCTTGCAGTGACCACACCAAGGAGCATAGAAATCAACAAAGATGCAATCGAAAGTGGAAATCGCCGAGTCGAAGTTGGAATCGGTGAGCTCCAACACTGATCCGTCGACGGTGAACTGATCAGCC